TATCATGGAGAGACGATGTCTTCATAGTTATTGGCATAAAGTGCACTTTAAATCACTTGTTTCTGAAAGAAATGACTTGGAAGTTTGTTGATCTTCCAGTTAAGGAAAGGCGTGTTTGAAGACGTACATACATACATTGACCAGAAGAGCTCATTTTACATGGTTAAAAACAATTTTTAAGTTTGTCATTTTGAGGATGCTCAAGTTACATTACATACCAAAAATCAGCTCAATATCTGCAAGCATTTATTAAAAAAATGCGGAAAACCGAGTAGGACAGACTGATAGAAGGGCGCGCTCAGAGGAAACCTATAGTCCTCTCTGGTTACGCCGTAATGGGACTAATAATGGCCTTACAATTATCATTAAAAAGGGGCAGTCAGCATTTGACTAAATGATAGATTGTATAAGCTGTATTTTTATGCGTGTATATATATTTCAATAAATCTAATTATTATTTATCATTCATTGGTGTTCAGGAATTTTATTAATCTTATTTTTCCACCCAGTGCTTCCAGCCTCAAAATCTCTGTTCTCGTGAACAGGCCTGTGTATGATCATGCAGATATAGGTTTGTGCATCTTATCATTAACTGTTTTAAATAGATAAATGATAGATAGATAAATAAATAACCACCGTGTTACCTAGTTAAAGACCGAAGTAATCATTTTTTGGTAGCCGAACATTCATGGAGTACAATGCTTTTAGAGTTTATGTCTCATAATGTATTCCCTGCACAAGAACATTTTTCCACGTCATACTTTCAAGTAAGCTACTCACTGATAAATTGATTTTACATGTATTTCAGCGACCTCAATAAATTTGATATTTGGTAAATTCTATGGCCGCAAATACTGTAGAAGTGGAAGGTTTGACGAGGAGGAAACATTGACGATTTTGACGAATGACTTTACATGTAGCTCGTCAAAGTTTCCTTTCGTCAATTTTTTATTCATTGTCGTTCCCCGGTGTACGTGCTATGGTCTAATCACCCTATAAGTTATATCATTGGAAAGCCGATCCCGAAAAGATAATAACATTGTATACAGCATATAATCTTACATGAAATGTTAAACTTCTTTTTTAAAAAGTAAAACTAATATGTATGATATCCGCTTGCAATTTAATTTTTACTTGATAATTTAGTCAAACAAACACATATTTAAACGACTTAGTTATACGGTACATTGAAATGTAATTACTACCAATTGCAAGCCCTGCTGATCGGCAGGTTTCTTGCCTCGGGTAATATTTCCTGACAGTTAAATGTCATACAAACAAAAAATTCCTTTTATCCATTTATTTATTCAATTATTACAAATTTAAACATATTGTTAGTTTTTAAAAGGTCTTGAAGAGATGATTGTTTTTGACAATTCCATGAAAAAAAAGTTAGCAGGTTCCATTAATACCAACCGCAATGAAAGCTTTGTAGCCATCGCAACATGCTTATTGGCAAAAAAAAAATAATAACTAGAAAAACTACCCTTTATTACTAATTTTGCACAAGTTCATTAGTATCTACGGACTTAGTCCGCATTATGTCATCCATATTCGTATGCAGATGTAAGGAATTAAAGAAAGATAATTCATTTTTATTTTGCACAGTAAAAAAATCGTCAAAGCTTTCACTCGTCAATTCTTTAAGATGAAGAAATCGTCAAACTTTCGTATAACCACTTTTACAACATAACCACTTTTACAATATCAACTTGCTGGCAAATATATCCTAAAAATGGATCAATCGTTTTGTGGCTGAATTGTTTAATTCCAATTGTTTCTAGGCCTTTGTTTTATAATTAATTTTGCTGCAGAACTAGTTTTGTCCTTCTGCTAAATACAAAAGGCCCAAGGCTGGGCAGGTGTATCAGATCAACAGGGGATGCTTTCTCCTCTAAAGCTCCTGATCCTACCCCAGGGGTCCGTGTTTTACATCTTCTTTACATACCGTATATACTCGCCTATATGTCGGTTTTTTTCGGAGTTAAATATTGGTCCAAAACTCTACGTCCGACTAATAGGCGAGTTATTAAAAGATTGTTTTTTTTCTGGACAGTGAAATGTAGCATTTTATATATTTTCCCGACGATTTTTGAAGAACGAAGCCTATATATGTATAATCATTTATGCATTCAGAGATTATACATAAGGTACAAGTATTTGCTTGTTTTTGTAGTTTTATTTATATCTTAAGTGTGGTTTACGTATTTGTTAGATGATTTAAAACTAAATATCCGCGTTATTTCAAAACAATATTAAAGGAACCTGGATAAAAATATCAGTGTATTGATTTAAAATGTCAAAAGATTCTAACAAAAAGTTATATCGACTTATAAGCGGATCAAAGGCAAATCCCTCCATATTAACCTTAAAAAAAATACAACCGACTTACAGGCGGACCGACTTATAGGCCAGTATATACGGTATTTGTACTGTTTATCGAATTTGAGATTTTTTAGCTGTTTGTTATTTTCGCCTTTCACATCCTACCAAAAAAGTACATTAATAATTTTTTTGAACCTTGAACTTTATATTTTCATTCATAACTAAAACAGGTGGCATTTGGCGTTCATGACATATTTAAGTTTTACCTTGCCCTCATAATGTTTATTTTTTCATTTAAAATGCCTTTCATATTGAAGTGTCAATTCCCCCCCCCCCCTTATAAAGCGATTTTTCGAAACCAGTAAGAATTAAAATGTTCCTATTCTATATTAAAAAGACTGATTAAATTCCTTTCAGTAGTGGATTGCATATATTTTTCAGTTTGATAAATGCGAAGGCAATATTAGTTCATTCTGGAAGTAAGTATTTTAATAAGTATCACAGACGCCACTGAGCATTCAATTTAATGACAGATTGTACTTAATGGCAAGGCCAGTCGACAGTGGTGACTTATAATAAAATTATTGATGATATTCTTTCATTAAGGTATTTGTGAGTTATATTTATAGCACTGTTATGCATAAACATTTATAATTTTTAATCCAATCTCGTGTATTTCAGTCAAAACAATCAACATAAATTTTTCATTTACGAGGGTCATTCAAAAAGTTCGTAGAATTTTATTATAACTTTTTTATTTAACGTCATATTATATCCAAATTTGGTAGACATATTTTAAGAGTTATTCCAATTAATTTAAACTAAAATATTTTAAAATATTCCGACATACTTTCAAATTAATTAAATTTCGAAGCCGCAAAAAACGGGTCACGGAGCAAGGCAAAATTTAGTCATGTATAATTATTTCCTGGTATTATGCTATTAGTCGTCATTTTAAAAAATGGCGCTAAATCTTAATAAAATTTATATATTCAAAAAGGGTATTGTTACGTCATTTCATATGTAAAATTCTGACGTAATATAGTGCTTCGTTGAATAAAAAATGATTAAAGAAGACTGTTAGTCCGCATCGAAAAAGGCCGAAAATAATGACTTTGCACGACGTCACGGAGCAGCGAGTTGCTATAAAATTTTGTGTTGCTCTTGGAAAAACACCAATGCAAACTGTGGAAATGTTGAAAAAGGCAGGAAGTAAGTCAAAAGTGAGCCTAGCGTTTGTCTATAAATGGCATAGACGGTTTCTGGAGGGCAGGGACTCTGTTTTAGATGATGAGCGAGCAGGGCGGAAACGAATTATGAGTGAAAATTTGGTCGAAAGAATAAGTAACGTTATGGAGCGTGACGGGCGCGTCACAGTTGCAGAACTTGCGTCGATGTTTGATATCAGCTCTGGTACCGCTTTTACAATTTTGTCTCAACACTTGGATATAGAGTTTCGGCGCGCTGGATACCTAAACTCCTGACTGATGAAGACAAAACAAAAAGATTGCAACTCTCTCGGGCATTCTTAAGGCGGTATTCGAATGAAGATAACTTTCTTCAAAGAATAGTAACACCTGATCAAACGTGGCTGTTTCATTATGATCCTGAAACGAAACAACAATCTTCAGCATGGAAGCGAAAATCATCTCCACCTCCCCTTAAAGCTAAAGTAAGAAAATCTGCTAGGAAGAATATGTTTATATTTTTCATGGATATCCGTGGTATGCTACTTGTGCATGCAGTACCTGAGGGACAAACAGTCAATGCAGCATATTACGCACAGGTAATAACCGTTTCTTTATTTCTTGTACATATTTTTAAAATAAATATTAAAGTAGTTTTTCAGCATGTGATAATGAATCTATAATTTCTTAATAACATTTAAAATACCATTACAAAGATTATTTACCGGGCATTTGATCGAATTAATTTAAAATCAAAGTTGCATTTCAATAAATTATTATAAACAATAAAAAATAGTAAAATCTTCATTCTCTTTTCAAATAGGTGATTCGTCGGGATCTTGTAAATGCAATTCGGAAAAAACGACCGAATAAGCAGATAGAAGAGTTCCTTCTTCATCAAGACAACGCTCCTGCCCACCGCGCTGATTCCACTGTGCTGGAGTTGGATTTATTAGGTTTAGATCGTGTGATTCACGCACATTACAGTCCTGACCTAGCGCCGATGGATTTCAAGGTTTTCCCTACCGTGAAAGTTACGTGGCAGAAAGTTTAAAAACACAGAAGAACTAACTTATGCAACTCGAACGATTGTCAGTAGATTCGATGACAAATGGTATAGAGATGCATTCAGTGAGTGGGTAAGACGCCACAGATTGTGTGTGAAGTGCAGAGGGGAGTATTTTGAAAAACTGTAAAATACGACGCGATGACGTTATGAATTTGACGTTACAATGTCGTTGAGAGTGCTCCGTGCAGACAAAACAAGACGATTTTAAAATAGAATAACGCTAGTGCCATTTATTCAAATTAAATAAAATTTTGTACATAGGTAAAATAAATGTTTCTAAACAAAATAATGTGTTGATCATGAATTTTTAAAAAGAAATACTGCCAAAAGCGCCATTGTCTACGAACTTTTTGAATGACCCTCGTACATAAAAAATACTAAAAATTAATAGTTTTACGAAGTATATTTATTTTGTGTCTTTCATATTGCATGAACATCAGAAAACTTGTAATGTTGAAAACATTTTAATTATATGTAATATAAACAGAGGCTCATCATTTTATCAAAAACCCGTGTGCATGAATATCATAGAAAGATGATGTCATGGATTAGATAAAAAACAAACTCTAAACATATTCAAGCCAACGACAGAATTGAGAGTAAATGTTACATTTTTTTTTTAATTTAATTTGTAACATCTTGTGCTTGTCAGATGGCATTACTGACAATTTGAATGTACAATGTAATTATTACAAATTACCTTAAATTTTGTAAATTGAAATATACATAATTGCTCAAGACCGGGGTTTCTGTCTTTTTATCGTTCATTTTTTTTTCAACAAAATTGACAGGATATTATAATAGATATTCAAAAATATTTAATCAGCAAAAATTTACAAACAGTTAAATAGAACTGAAACAAAACAAGATTTAAAATAATTCACAGACATTTCCTTATTATTTTTCTTTTAACATTTTTTTTATAAAAACGAAATATACAAAAAGCGTAAAAAGAAAAACTTTACAACAACAGGGAAAAATACGCCTACACCTTGTCGGTAAAACGTACATGTAGCCATGTTCCGTTTCAGATAAGTTATAAATGATTTTTTTATCATTTTTTGGTCAATAAAAGAAGATTCCATAAAACATATTCAGTCATAGATTTAAATAACAATTCAAATTGAAATGATTTAAATTAACCATTGTTTTTATCACCTCACAGTCAAATCAATTTCTCTCGTTTTTCTCGTTGTAATGTTGTTTAATATTTCCCCTTTCCGTATTTCCTATTGCGCTTATTGTGATTTCTTTTGTTTCTTCTTCGTCTACGCCTCTTCTCTCCGGAAGATGAATTTGATCCACTCCCACTTGATGAAGATCTAGATCCGCCCCTTTTGCCTTTGCGTCGTCGACGAACGTCACGGTGACGTGGTCGTTGTTTCTTTGGAAGGGGTTTGATTGGAAGGGGTTTTACCGGCGGTAATGGCTTGATTGGAAGATGGCCAATCGGAAATGGTCTAACGGGAAATGGTTTTATGGGTAATTGTACTGGAATTGGAGGACGGACATCATGGATCGGAATCGGTGGTAAGGGCCCCGGATAAGGACGAATAGGTCCTAGGAAATGCACGGGAGGTGGATGTGGAGATCCATTGATAACCTGCAGAAAACACTAATTTATAAGGTTTTTTGCAATGTACAATAAATTGTTATGATTATAATCGAATTTTTTTTAATCAAAGGTTCTTGGGTATATATTTGCAGTTTGAAAAACAAAATATTATATTTTGAAAAAAACAATATTGGTAAGTAATTAAAATGTTTCGAAGCATGTCATTTACTGGATAAAATTCATTGTCATTTTCAAAGATTTTTGCAACGTAAAAATAAAGAAATACTTTAAAGTACTTCTTTACTTTGAATAAAGAAGTAAGAAAAATGACTACAAAATTGAAAAGGTGTGAAAATTTTTATGACAGTACTCATCGTCATTAGAATAAAAATGAATTTAGAAATAATAAATCAATGAGGTAGATCTTTTTTTTTTTCAATCATATGAATCTTACAATGTTGTTAAATGAAAGGAATAAAATCTCATTAAATATTTTTTAAATATTTAATCTAGTGAATTTTATTTTAATCTAGAACATATTTTTATTGGGAAAAATCAGCGAAAAAATACTTCTTTTTTTCAAATTTTAACCCATCAACCAGTAATAAAGTACACATGATTACTGTCTGATGTCTTTAATTAAACCAGTTTATCACAATATCATTTTCAATGCATATTACTAGATGTAATACATACCTGATAAATTATATCTGTAATAGAAATAAAATAAGTGATAAAATTATTTCTTTATATCTAATAAGAATAAAATAAATTCTTGTACTGTAGGTTATAGTTTTTCTACGTCAGAAAATACAGACAAGGTTAATTCAAATATATTTACAAAAACTCATGCTTCTGTAGTATGTATTCAATTTTAAAATTGAGATAAAATAACGATTTTTTAAAGTTCATTTACAATTTTCAATATTTCCACCTCATGGAATTGAGTATTTTTTTAAACAAATTCCTTAAAAACATTTTATCAATTTAAAATGGAAAACAAAAAAAAATTTAAATCTTACAGACCTTCGGACTTCACAGCCGCCCAAAATGTTGTCAATAAAACAGTCAACGCCGAAAGCACATGAGCCTGCATTGTGCTTGGTGAATCACTTTAGAGCAAGAAGGTTCCCAAAATCCACTTATATAATCAGGGAATATGGTAATGAGACAGGACTAAATAATGACCCTTAATCAGACGCAGGAAGTGGTCTCTATAAACACACATGAATATATTTCTTTTGATATTGACCCATCTCGGCATGTAATATCAAAGATTAAACATTTTAAAAGATATTTGTAAAATTTTGACACGTTGTTAAATTTTGACTTTTTTTAATTAACTTATTAACCATACATTTATTTTTTCCATTAAAAAAGCAGTAAAGTAATACATCCGGTTTAATAGGAAAGACCTTAAAATTTTAAGTATAAACTGTATTAATTCTTGACCTTTATAAAACCAGATATGTATTTAGGTATTTTAGTTAAATATTACAATACATACATATTTTTTTTTCTCGGTTGTATTCTGAATTTTGTTTTAATGACAATGTTGTGTGCCTCTTTAGACTGTTTGCCTCAGTTAAAAACTTGTTTGAAAAATAACGCATATTTTGTAAGTAGTGAACGAGTTGTCTGAAAGAAGACAAAAGATTAATATTTTTGAAAATTTGATTTTTTCAAAAGTAGTATGTTCCTTTTACATTATTCGACACATAATTAGATAAATAGATATGAATTTACATCATTAATCAAGAAGATAAGGCGTCTTCCTAGTTATGGGAATAAAGTGCACTATAAATGTCAAGTATCTTTCACCTTGAACTATCAGAAATAAAACGCGGACATCTCATTATACAGAATAATTACAAAGGAAATCCGTGTTTAATTGGTTTAATGACATATATCATTTTATTATGCTATTTACCTCTTTATATATATTTAACAGGATTATTATGCCTTCTTTAAATGGGGAATTTTTTTTTATGGAATAAAGATCAATTGAAAAAAACAGTCATACATAAATGTCAAAAATTTCAAATGTTTTAAAATTGTCAAAAAGATAATATTTTACATTGAGGGTATTACAATAATCAGTATTACTGTTTCTTATCAATTATATAAAAACATCTCTTTATTTTCAACCGTTATTGAATAAAAATTTTAAAATATTAAACTTTATTGTATGCGTGGGTATTTTTCAGTCTATGTTATTTAGCCTTGAGTATCACATTTGTCAAGTTTTACACAGAACATGTTTACCTAACAAATCTAATATTTTGGAAATATCTATATAGTGAACTCCATAAATATACTTGCAAACAAAGATACCTGAAGGGATCAAGTATATATTTTACGACGCCTTTTCATTAAATATTCACGGCATTGAAGAAAAAAATTCAGGAACACTGTACACCAATATGTTTGAGAATGGTGTTAATCATACTTGGATATGAAAAACAAAGCGACGTTAAGAAAACTTGATATCGCAAAATTATATCCAAATCGTTATCAATATGTTCGAATTTTTATCACTTTATACAACTATTCCCCACGATGTTATTAAACTTTCAGGCTTTTTAACATGATAGACAACTGCTTTTTCAACAAAAATGGAACTCTTTACAATAGTTACAAATATATCTTACCATTAACCATTGGCAAACCTATTTTGTTAAAAATTCTTATGATATAAAAAGATGCTTGAATTTCTGATTTTCAATATCGATGTGGTTTTTGGAAATCACGTCTTCCAACGGTATGTTTGAGTTTCCATTTGTACTGATTAGGACCCGTTGAAAGAAGATCTACTTTCCCATTCATATAAAGCAGTATTCATTTTAAAACTTCTGCATTAATTATTTGTTGTGGCCTTCATATCAACTTTTATATTTATGGACGAGGTATAATCAGGTATTATCAATCAGGTATTACAAATCAGAAATAATTACTTCCAATCATATTTCGACTCTATATATTCAAGTGAGCATAAAATAAGATACCACAGAGTCTGATACATCTGTTTCGTATTTAGATGTTCTACTTGGAAAAGAGTTTATGACATCCTTACAACCAAGGTTAATGATAAACGTGATAACTTCAATTTTCAAATTTTCAACTTCTCTGTCATATGCAGCAGTATACCTCAATTACCTTTATATGGGAATTATGTCTTCCTGTTGAATATATACTTTAGAGCATTGTCTACATGTACGTATGAACAATATCTAAAAAGAGGATGACAGAGGGATATAAACACTATCATTTGAATAAACCTTTTCGAAAAGTGTTGGTCGGCAAATACAATTTATTTGAGTCAAATGCTGACTGAAATTTTTCATACTCATTGTTAGTCCATTATTTTCGTTATTTCCCGATCATGACAAGGAGCACAAGGTGGGTGTGACCGGTCAGCAGGGAATGTTCACTCCTCCATGGCACCTGATCCCACCTCTAATGTTTTAGAGGTCCGTGTTTGCTCTGCTCCTGATTTGTATTGTTTTATGGACTTTGATATTGAATACTATTAGTTATCCCCGGGGTAGTGTTAAACTTTTCACTTTTTCATCAAGGCATATTTTCTAATTATAGACGTCACGTGGTGACGTTGTGGTGAAGTGCCTCCTGTAGTATAAGTCTCATTGAAGTCTATAGAATGCATAATTATAGCAAAAGTTTTATCCTTGACTTTTCCGATTTATTAGTGTTACATAATTATAAAAAAGTGTTAATTCGCCGAATTCTGATCCATGTGCTGCCTTAACATACCCGCGGGGATATTCCAGATATGGTACCAGAAGTTTTTAAAAAAATTGCAATAGAATTTGGTAGATCAAGCACAACAAATGCATTACCTTAAAAAGTATATTTTATGCGCATTTATCTGCTACATGTACATGTATACTTACTGTCAATAGAAACGCAAGACTCTAATTTTAGGGTGAAAAATTATATACGAGATATAACTATTTACCAAACAAGTTAGGACATCTTTTACTTTCCTAAACAGTTATTTAACGGTTGAATGATTTTCATTCAATTACCGAAAGTTGATTTTTTAGCCCTCTTAACAGATAACTTTTAAATAAAACATCCCCCTTCCGACATTAAATTAAAACATGCTAGTCCGCCATGTACAACATACGCAGTCCGATTTCTACCATGCATTAGGTTTATCAATGTCTTTATCTGAGCGAAATAAAAATTTTTGGGCATTTTTAAATGCCTGTTTTTCAGGTAGTGAGGTCGAATTTTCTCTAACTTGGCGCAGTGTAGTAACCCTTAGACTTCCGGTCAACGAACTGTCATTCATGAGCCCGAAAAGTCGTTATGTAGCATATATTTGCATCTGTAGCTCTTCTTTTTCTGTATTTTGAGAATTTCCAGTATCATCAATGAAAATGCGTGCTTTCGTTAATTTTGAGGAAATACAGGTATCACATCCGGAAAAGAAAGAAATATATTTTCCCTGGATTTTATTACAATACTTATAATTAACAGGTACAAAACCTTAAAAACCCAAAGTATTGTCAAATATTTTATCAAAAATGCTAATATTTGATTTCTGTTAAGAGGAATAAAAATCAACTTCCGGTAATGGAATGAAAATCATTCATTCGTTGAATAACTGATTTGGCAAAGTTAAAGATTTTTGTACATAGTTATATTCTGTACATAATTTTTCACCCTAAAATTAGGGTGTTGCGTTTCTATTGACGGTGAGTATATATACCTTAATCAGATTTCGGATATTGATAATACTGAACTAGTATATTTTTAACGTGATAATTTAAATTTCGAAGTAAATACTAACAGAAAATGGAATAAATTTTGTTTTTATCGATCAAACAATTTGTAATAGTTTGTTGATCTGTGTTTAAAATGCCTTGAAATTTCTCTACATTTCTTTCCAGAAAGTTTCCATGTAGAAAGAAATGTAAAACAAATAAAATAATAAAATAGAAAAATAACTATATCTTATTTAATAGAGTTAACAATTTCAACAAACTGTTGATATATCGCTGTTTATCATTATCTAGAACTGCTCCCCTTGCGATACTTTCTTCTATAGAACCTCTTCCGGTAGTACTTTCTTCTGTTTTTGCGACCTCTGTATCTTCTTCCGCCAGAGGATCCATTGCTGAATGAAGAGCTAGATCCGCGCCTTCCCCTGCCTCTGCGCCTGTGATGAACAACCTCAACACGTGAATGGTGCTTAATAACTATTGGCACCGGAAGAGGAACTGGGTGAGCCGGAAAATGCCGGGGCCCATCAAAGCGAGGAACCGGATACGGATGACGAATTCGGATTCCATTTAAAATTGGAGAAGGTTTTCGTGGCTTGATTAAAGAAATGAAAAAAGAATTAAAACAAAATTTTTATTATTAATTAAGGAATGAAATTAATATCTACCCATTTTATACGGTATAAAGTGGGTTGGGGCAGCGAAGCGGTTTATAAAAAAGCGTAAACTGTTCCAACCCACTTTATACCGTATAAAATGGGTAGCTATTAATTTCATTGCTTATAATTTAATTTTCATTCATTCGCTGTAAGAAAAAAAGATAATTGTTCTAATAAAATGACTTCAATTGTACAAAATTTGAATGTAACGTAAGGCGGATTGATACGTTTTTGACGCAAGTCATTGTGACGTAGGCAACCCATTTTATACGATATGAAGTAAATTTTTTATCCAATCAAATACAGCGTTACAACCAGAATTAAATTATATACACATAATCTAATAATTTTAGTTTTGGTACATATTTGATTTTCATTTTTAGGTATTTTTTCTCAGGAAAATATTCAACATTTAATAACTTAATTAGCCGTTTGAAACTCAATTCAAATTATTTAGACTCACCCTGTAATTATAACCTGAAAGGAAAAAAAAAACAACAATATATTTATATACTGTATTTTCTTTAATTATTCATTATTTCTTTTATCTGCTGATATTATGTAATATGAATACTCATACAGATACAATTAGAGCTAAATATGGCTGTCATTAGAATTTTATAAATGAAGCATAATAAATCCAATTGAATAAAAATACACTAAATATTCAGAGAACATTTTTGATATCCATT